GGCAGAACTGGACCAACCAGCCTGCAGAACTGAACAGTTCTATACAACTACATATATACCTAACGTTATATATTTTTCTTGTTGTTTCGTTATCCCATTATTGTTATTCGTCATTATATTCTGTAGTTAATTAGTCGTTCCAACGATGTTACATAGTTGATATATTCACCACGTTATGTATCGTTAACTTCAGGAGAAGTTAAGTTCTTCTACATAGGGGGGAAGCGTGTAAGGATACAATATACACCCCCACAAACTATTGGACCAGTCCGGTCAGAGGTCACGGACTGCACATGTTCTGACAAGAACACATTTCATATCCCAGCACTTCTCGCATCTTCATTCCTGGAGTGATTACTTATAAGTTCCAATATCTTCACCAACTGGACACTTATACTAACAACAGGTACAGTTCTATGCTAACAGCAGGTACAGTTCTATGCTAACAGCAGGTGCAGTTCTATGCTAACAGCAGGTACAGTTCTATGCTAACAACAGGTACAGTTCTATGCTAACAGCAGGTACAGTTCTATGCTAACAGCAGGGTGTCTGCTACAGCACCAGTTACCATGGTGACAGACGTCTGGCCCAGGTCATTGACTTTATTTGTTTGGAACGGAAGAAGAAGAAACCAAAGAAGAAACAAGGAAAATCGTAGATTTTGTACCTCCGGGTATTGTAATGTATGTTGCAGAATGTTGGGTGCATGTTGGGACTGTTCTTTAAATTAGTGAATGGTGTCTGGGTGTGTGTGTGTGCACGCGAATACCATTTTTTCGAAAAGTTTCGAAATGTTTGTAATTGGCTAAATGATCTGTGAAATCACTAATCCCCCCTAGCCGACTGGAGCCCCAAAATAGAAAGGACAGGGGGCATTCCGTGGCGAATCTGGCTGCCCGACCCTCAGCGACCAGCGATAATGTAAACAAACACCTACACAAACGGCCACGTGAGAAATCAACTCCAGTGCGCGGAACTTGCTCTCGAAAATTTATCAAGCCGCTACGCTTCCCCCCGCGGCTGCCATCCCTCCCCACTTATCCCACACTAGTTCAAATCAGGAAAAAAAACACATCAAAACATGCACAGAAGCGTGTTCATATCTTTCATGTTACGGTTAAAACTTAGAACCTCATTTTGAGCGAACGTTACAAACACGAGACAAAATAATATTTTCGAAAACAAATCGCAATCAGCAAGATTTCATTCCTGTTTCATTCATCAAAAGTTCTTGTCGATTGTAAAATGATCACTCATCTGTTGTCTCCTCTAGTGTGTCATTTGTAGCGTAATCATGGCGTGCCAAAAAAATCAGTCAAAACTATGAAAATTCCGGGATAAAAAACTTGGCAAAAACGTGTTCTCCACATCGCTGTACAAAACCATGCGTGCGCCATTTTGATATGTAAATAGCAGCGCGTGATCTATGCTCTCATTGGTTCACCTCACATGACCTGCGTTCCGATTGGATAAGCGATATCGCGCCGGCAGCGCGACAGAATTTCTTTATCAGCGAAGAGGCACATTTTCGCTGCTTTCTACGTTTTTTCTACGACTACTAAGCAACATCCTATCAAAAAAATCCTATCAGGGTGATTAGACTCTAAAAGAATTTTCGGGACAATTTCTATGTGCCCTTTTTAATGTTCGAGCCAGATAAAAATAACCCGCGGTACCCGGAAGTCAGCGTACCGAGCTGGATTTTCATGGGTCCCGTCTACCCCAACGCGAGACACAACTGCGATAATATTTTTCCTCGATACCTGACACCCCCTCTCACCAGATGTGGACGACGCCTGCGACACTTTATACACGCCGAAAATCAAAAGACAAAACCACTTTCACACACAAGGGGTGTCCATACGCTGTCACAACGCATCATTTTCACGCACTAAAACACACATACTAAAAAACCAAAACAACGTGCACCATCTACAGCCCAATAGCAAAACGTATACCAAGTCCCAGACATATCCGTCCACCCAAACGCGAGAAACGGCTGCGAATGTAATTTTCATCTTCCCCCACAAAACCTCTGCGCACGGGATACATCCCTACCCGGAGGTAACAACAAAACTAGAAAGGCCGACATTTGCTTCGGAGCAAATACAGCATATTTCAGTCCATAATAGGATGGTCGGCATATTCCATTGTCATCATTGTAGATGACTTAATGATCTCAGGCATGTAAAATTGAATGTGCGGGTCATTGTGCACGACTTACGTGCAACGTGACCCCAGGTAACCCGCAATGTTTGATGTGTTTGAGCAGTGTTCGATGGCCAACGGCAAATGGAACGGGCCATTCTTTGGATGGAACGTGGAATGGGTATAGCACTTTTGGCCCTTTTTTGGTTGAAAATAGCCATTAAAGACCCCCAAATGAGTCATTTGGAAGTGGTGTATGCCAAATATGTGACTGCTATTTTGTAGACACACGTTCAAGGTACCCTTATACCGAATTTCAGATCATTTGGTTGTAATACCATGCAGGGCTCAGGATCCAAAAATCCATTTTTTTGTCGAAAAATGCCCCAAAAAACCTTCATAAATTTTTTTCAAAGGCATGTATCAAAAAAATGAAGAAAAAAAAAACGACTGGGGGTATTGGCCCACTCTACCTCCATGCCAAATTTCAGGTCATTTGGCTAAAAAATGACAGAGTTGAATCCATTTGACTGTGTGGCAGGAGAAGGAGAAACATGAGAGAACACAATATATTTCATCCATACCATATGGTATGGACTGAGCTGTGTTGTACAGCAGGTCGTAGATGCCAGCCTGGCCTGACAGCACCATGCTGCAAAAGTGTCAAAGATATACAATCATTATGATATATAATTATGGATAATATTGTGATTCGCAGTACATGTACATGTTAACACACACACATGCACACACACGCACTCCTGGACGCTGGCCCCCTCCAGCTCTGCTGTGTTGTACAGAAGGTCATAGATGCCGGCCTGTCCTGACAGCACCATGCTGCGAAAGTGTCAAAGATACAGGTCTGTAGTTGTCAACTAAATGACTATAAACTGGTGGACGTCCCAACTACTAAGTACCTAATACCAGCCCAGAAGAAAACAAGAAATAGCCATGCCTTAAAGTACCAGAGTTATCAACCAAGGATTGAGGTGTTCAAGAATTCATTCTTTCCTAGAAATATCGCAGAGTGGAACTCACTGTCACCAAGTACAGTATGGGCATTGTCAATAGATAGCTTTAAACAATATTCAAGGGTAGGTGCCGCCGCGGCGCGTGCCTGCGAAGCTGGTGTGTTATGCCGGCTATACAGATAAAATCAAATAAATTTTAAAAAATGCTTTTAATTCAAAATTAATGCTTTTATATTGAAAATACTTTATTTTACATCCGGGCCAATAAACCCTTGCTGAACCATGACGGCGATAGATTCCGGCTTCCCGTTACTTTTGATTCACTCCTGACGCCATCAAGCTCCCGACTTCCGAGTCAGCGAGTGCAGCACACATCTGACGAAGGTTGGCAAGATTGACTAAAAATTTACATGTATGGTGATCTCCCTCTTTCTGTTGCATCAAAGCTCAAACTCTATAACTTTAAAGCTCGTTGAAATGAGAAAGTGGAATTCCAAACTTTAAAAAAGTGGAGGGTGTTATTATGTTTCTGTCCATAATAATATATCTTTGTTTTGGTAATATATTTTCATTTTTTACAATATTGTTCTTGTTTGAAAAAAAGCATTTAGGCCATAATGACATGATTTAAAAATATAGATTATTGCACACACTAATTTTCAATGAGTTCCATTAATTTTTTACTGTTTGCAGAAAAATGATTTAATTTCTTCTACGAGAGCAAAATGTATCCGATCTGCAAAATGCTACTGCAGGTGGGCATTTCTGAGACCCAAGGACTCTAATTCCATTAATATGCATGTGGCTCAGACTAATATACATGTAAGCTTAATTGTAAAACATGAAAATGTATATTCAAGCAAATGTGTGTGTGTGGACATTATATCCGGAACATAAACATCTAAGGCTCAGTGTGTGTTGCAGCAGAAATCTGTGACCACGATGGCGCAAAACAAGGCACTGCTGTACTTCCTACTCCTGGTTTCCAATCAGCTACTGCTCGTGTCGGCGCCAGCTTCACGGTGCCCTGACAGCTGTAGCTCCCAAACCCTACTTACGTTTGGAAGAGTCGTCTGTCAC